GTAACCAATTTTCACTTCCATAGCTCTTCCACTCCTACTCTTCCGGATGAGATACCGGAAACCTGGACAAAGAAGGTCCAAGGGCTGATTGAGTCAGCCCTAGCATCTCAACATGCCTCCTTTAGGCAAGAGATAGAGCTAATGGAAGCCAAACACACTGAGCTGATAGAGAAATCTGAAGAGAAACACAGCGCTGATCTCAAGGAGATAAGTAAATCAATAGAAAAGACTCTAGAGATTATCTCTCTATTGAGTAAAACTGTGAGCAATACGATGGAAATATACACCTCTGACAGTCAACTGCAATTCAATGAATTCAACAAAGTCAAGGAGCAAATAGCAAATGTCACAGTTGGTCTACAAAAACAGATGTCCCTTCTCCAAATGGACATCAGATCAGCCCTAGCAATAGCTTCAGCAAATCAGGAAGCATACAAGCTGTTCAGACTTATTGGTGCACATTCTGGGAACCGCAAGATGGAAGTGATTCTCCAACAACACAGTCCATCTCCAATACCACAGCTCCCTATTGCAGTCAAAGAAGGAGAAGTATCTTATATTCCTTCTCATCTGAACTTGACAAATCTGATCCTTGAAGCACAGCAAAGAAATCCGGAAAACTCAGCACAGCAACTATCCAGCTCAGGACTGGATGGAACAGAATTTATAGGTGCAGTTGCTGACCACTTCTCAGATGCTGCTCAATCAGAGGAAAGGCGTGAAAATTTAAGGCGCATCAAAGAACTGTGTGGGAACATGCAGGGCATCAGTGAGGTTGCCGGATCTTCAAAACGCAAAAGGAACTGAAGGTTCTTTTCATCAAACCAGGGGGAAGGTATGTGAAAACATTTGTTTTGATGAAAACACCTTCTTGTTTAAACATTGCTTGATTGGTTTAAACATTGCTTAAGTATGCCTTAATTGCGCTTATTATGCTTGATTATGCTTATCTCAAGTATGATTTTGTCTTAATTATTTTTTCTGAAGCGCATACATTCAGGGGGAATGTATTTCAGGGGGAACTTAACTAGTTTTGGCTAACAATTGTTTTTGGCAATGAATTATTGATAAGCTCAAAGCAATGGAAGACGGATATCTCAGTTTTGGTACTAAAATTGGAAATCTCCGATTCAGGTACTTTACAAAATCTGCCTTCTTAAACTAAGCTTTAGTCCTTAATTCATTTCCAACCAGCTCTAAAAGTACTGGTCCCTAGGTTGTTTAAAAATGTACAGGACTTTGGAAAAATAGTACCACTTTTCTTTTAAATATTCATATTTGTTTTGGTGCTACCTCGTCCTAAGTAGAAATTAGAACTATAGGGAATGAAAAATGATAGTCTTATTTTGGGCCTTGAGAACCCAATAGGAATAATTTCCCTTTAGTACATAGCTTTCTTTTCTTTTTGGGCCACTCTTTTGGGCTTAGCCAAACTAAAACAGTTACGTTTCTCAAACCAATCGAAACTGATTTTCAAATTAAAACAGTTTCAATTCTTTGGTAACTGGTAAAAGATTCCTTTTACTTTTCAACTTCTTGGAAGTTGAAACTCCTTTACTCTCACCGTTCCAACTACCCACTTAATGGAACCCGTGAA